CCTACCCCCGGCAGTGCTGCCTGTGCGCATGCGCGAGGGGGAAAAGGCGGGAAAAGCTGAGGGGAGAGGCGCCAAGTGTGGTGGGTGGTAAGCGAGAGGCAAAGGGAAGGTGGGATAAGGGAGTAAAATGGGGGGAAAAGAGGAAAATCTGAGGGAAAGGGGTGGAGGAGGGGTGCAGGAAGAAAATGTGGGAGGCAAATAGGGGAGGGGAGGGACGGTGGGTGAAGTGTGGCGGGGAGAGAGGATGAGGGGCGAGATGGAGAGGGAGGTAAACGTGGAGGAGCAAAGAGCTGGAGTGAAGGAAAAGGGGTAAGAATGGATGCGGAGAGGGATGGAAAGGGAGGTGAGGGCAACTAGGAGAGGGTGAGGAAGGAGGAGCGGGGCGGGCCGGGGAGGAGGAAGGGTGCTGGGAGGAGGGAAGAGGGATGAGGGCAGGGGGAGGATAAAGTGAGGGATAAATCGGCGATAAATGAGTGTCCTCCCCCTCAGGGCTGAAAGCCCTATAGATATTCCTGATTATTTATATTTATAGTTTCAGTGCTTGGTGCTGGCACAGCAGCCGCACCCCAAGACCACCCCCCCCCCCCCCAGCCCCTTTTTGGGAAAGGGAGGTGAGGGCAACTAGGAGAGGGTGAGGAAGGAGGAGCGGGGCGGGCCGGGGAGGAGGAAGGGTGCTGGGAGGAGGGAAGAGGGCAGGGGGAGGATAAAGTGAGGGATAAATCGGCGATAAATGAGTGTCCTCCCCCTCAGGGCTGAAAGCCCTATAGATATTCCTGATTATTTATATTTATGGTTTCAGTGCTTGGTGCTGGCACAGCAGCCGCACCCCAAGACCACCCCCCCACCCCCCAGCCTCTTTTGCTTCAGAAATTCCCACCAAAAATTTAAATCCTCGAGCCCTTCTCCCTTTTCTATCAAACCTAAATTAACTAATATTCTTCCTGCAGGGTGGAGAGGCAGAGGCAAGGTCGCCTGCGTACCCCACGGTGAGCGTGGTTTGCCCAAAAACAGGAGCCAGCTGAATTCCTCTCTCTCTTTTCCTTCATTTCTCCACTTTCTGTGTGTTTTGGTTTTTTTGTATCCTTCTGTATGCTGGGAAATTGGTTTTCTGGGTTCCATCCAGGGTTAAACCTTTCTCTCCGCCCTTCCTCCTCCCCTTAATCCCGCACTGGCTGTCGTTAACGTGGATGCAGCTGCTTTATTTTCCTGCCCTGTCTGTAAAAACCAACCGCTCCGTCGCCGTGATTAACGGTCGTGACGCTCCGGCTACCCGCGTCGGGGCAGGCTGTATTCCCCCCCCAGGACCCCAGTGAAGGTTCTGAGACCCCAGTGAGCACCCCCGGACCCCAGTGAAGGTTCTGAGACCCCAGTGAACACGCCCAGACCCCAGTGAAGGTGCTGAGACCCCAGTGAGCACCCCAGGACACCCGTTGCCCCCGTGGAATTAATTAACCCCCCCATTAACTTATTCCACCTTAAATCTCCCCCAAAAAGCAAGGGGGGGAAAGAGGTTGTTCAGCACGTGTGGGCTGAGTCACAGCGGGGAACAGTTCCTGCCCGAGTGACTCATGCTTCTTAGAACCGGGGTATTGAAAAAACACTGGGTTGAGCAACAGCTCCTTGCATAAATCAGCAATTTGAGGAGCAATTAATTAGGGCCCAGGCGGGAGGGAGGGGATGAAGGAAGCCCCCGTCCTGCGCAGAAAGCCCAAGGCAGGGGGAATACCAAGGGATTTTATTGATGACAGCTAAAAATTAATTAAAGAAATGGGGCTTTGCAGCTAAGGAGATGGGATGCTGGCTGGAAAAATGGGGAAAAAAGTAGGATTGGGATAATTTCACAGGGTTTATATCAAATATCGTGCGAGAGGTGGATATGGGGAGGGAGGAGGTGTGTTGCTGACAAGGAGCGTCACCTTTTCACAGTAGAAAGCCCCCCAAATCCAGTAAAACTGACGCATCCTTTCCCTTTAGCCCCGTGCAAGAGCAGCTCCCGTTTCCCTTCCAGGTATCGGAGTCGAGCTGTCGGCTCGGGAAGCACCGGGGGTGGACGGATCTGCTCGCATGCAGCCGGGAGCCGTCAGGAGCAAGGTGCCAATTTAATGCCAAATTAAAACCGTTAACGCCCTAAACCTGTGTTCCCCCCAGCTTATAATGAGTGGAAGGGGCAAAAATGGGGAGAAAAGGGGGGTTTTTGGCCGTTACCTCCCCGGGGTTGTTTCGAAACATGGGGAAGCTGCTGCCCGGCCCTGCCCAGATCCGGCGGTGATGCGTGGTAAGGTTTTGTAATTACCGACGATAATTAGGCAGAGGTGGGGGGCAAACTCCCAACATCTCCATCCCCAGCTCAATTAAATTCCCTAATTAAGGTGAAATCCATCAAAACAAGCACTGCTGCATTGTCACAACCCACCCCACCCTGCCACATAAAAAACTCAAGCAAAGTGCTCTGAAAGCCACCCAAAATTATCCATTCCAGGCTTTTCTTTCCTTCAAATTGTTTGACCAAGCGGCAGCTGCGAGGTCTCAGCGAGGGGGAAATGGAGCTGGGCTCATGCTCCAAGCCACATCCCCCATCAAAATGCGCCATCAGTGGGGTAAATTAATTAAAACGATGCTCTAAGCTGCCCCCATCCCGTCGCTGGAATTATTTCGGGTATGAAAAATCCTCAAATAAATAAAAATAAGTCATCGCGGCGTGGATGGGTGGTGGTGGGAGGAAGCACCATCCATTTTGACCAGGTAAGGATTGAACCGTAGCAGCATAAAACCAACCAGGAATTCAACCCAGGGGCTGCGTGGATCCAGCTCAATTAACCTCATTTGCTTAATTATTCTGCAGGCTTAAAAACTTGCTTTAACCCCAAATCTTTGGTGTTTCCACCAAAACAGAGTGGTTTGGTCTTGCAGCGGGAGCGACCTGCTGGACACAGACGGGCGAAAGCAAGAGCTGGGACACAGCTGTGTGGTGACGAGCTCCGAGCTCATTAAAGACTCATTATTTAATGACACCTGTAAGAAACAGCAATTGATGATGTAAAGAAATGCACAGTTGGGCTCTGGCAAGCCAGCAAAAAGTCAAGGTGCTCTTCAAAAGGTGCCTCAGTCTCTTACCGGGGGGGCACTCCCAGCCGCATTCTGGGCTAAAACTACCAGAAACAGTTAAAAACGACGCTGTTAATTAGTGACAGCATCTAGGAAATGAGGTCCCGGTTGCTTTTACACCATTAACTGCGGCCAACAGGCTCCTCTCGTCCCCGATTCGGAGTCGGGGAACGAGAACAAAAGCCCTCGCCGCCGAGCACTGAGGTCTTTCACCCCGACGTCAGCAGAATTGGCATTTCCAGTAAATTATTCTTTTTATTATTATTATTTTTTAAAAAGCAGAAGGGATTCGCATTCCTTTCTGCGTGCCGAAGCGTTTCACCCCCTCCTTCCTCCGGCCACCCGAACAATCTGCGATTGATGGAGACGGCGGCGTTCGGGAGAATGAATTTCGCCCCGTCGCCCCGGAATCTGGCCGGGTTGTCGCTCACCCTTTGCTGAACATATTTCGTTTTGGGGTTTTTTTTAATCTTATTTACAACTTTAAATTCCAACCCCAAGCTCCAGCCACAGATTTAAGTTGCCAAAACACAGCCTGAGAGGGGTTTTTTAGCTTCTCCCAGGAGAGCTTTTAGCTGCTCCTTTGAGACGACGCAACGTTAAGGCCCTCTGGAGCCTTTTGCCACAGAACCGCTAGATTTACCGATCTGTGGGATCTTCTAAAAAATTAACTCAAGCCGAAGGGCGACGTTTGACAGCGGGTGGTTGGCAAACGGCGAGCGTCACCTTCGCGTCCACTGAGTACGAACCGCAGCCCCTCTTCAAGCAGAAAAAAACCCCAATTAGACCCCAAAACTCCTCCTGACTGAAAGTTTTTGGAATTAAACCATCGCTGTTACCCCCCCGTCTGGCACAACGAACATTTATACCACCGCAGCGTCTTATCTCCCGGTCGGCGCGGTCCTATGGTTTGATCTGTCGCTAAAAGCTGATAGGGGTGAGCGGCGATGTCGTCCGGCAGCGAGCGCCGCGTGTTTCGTCTTGGCTTCGTCGAGTTCGGATTCTTTCCTCCCCGCGCCAAGGATAAACGCTCGCATCCCGTTCGCATGAGAGGAAACAACGCCTCGCTGTCAGCGAGGAAGGCGCGTGGAGTCAACCTGGCAAGTTTGAGCTGTAAGAGCCACTTGGAAAAAAAAAAACAAACCACCACAAAAAACTCCCCCAAAATAAGAAGAATCCGTTTCTCAAGGTCTTTACTTCCAAGTGTCTTCACGTCAAGATTTCCTGCCTGCCCGGATCCGGTATAGATTCGCCCGCTCTCTCTGCTTGGTGTTTCTCCATCACTTGCAGGACGTCCTCCAAGATGGACGGCCCCAAATCCACGTGGAGGGAGAGGAGGGAGCCGGCATGGGAGAGGAAGGGCGGCTTGGTGTCGCCCTTCTCCTCGGCGAAGCCATTCGTCGGGGCGGCGAAACGCGAGGCGCAGGGATGCAGCGGCGGCGCGACGCTCCTGCCCTCGCTGTCACCGTCCTCCTCCTTCTCCTCCACGACGTCCCGGCTCGGCGAGGCTTTGTCATCGAGGTGCAAGCGCGGCGGTTTCAAGCTTGCGCCGAGGGCAGTGTCAATGCCTGCGGCCCGCCGATGACGGGCAAGGAGATGGCATTTTTGAGGAGGGGAGACGAAGTCTCTGAGGATGGCTGTTGGTGTCCGGAGATGGTGGCCGTCCTGGAGAACTCGAACGGCGTCGCGTCGGGGCTGTCCTTGTCGGAGTCGAAGCTGCCTTCGCTCCTGGGGAGGAGGTGAAACTTGCCCTGAAGGAAGGAGATGTCGCCAAACATGTCGCTCTCCCCGCCGCTTCCGATGTGGATCGTGGGCCGGAAGACCCCCAACGAAGGAAAAATTGCTTTAAAAGTGAGTTCCAACACGTAGGACGGAGATCCTCGGCGTCAACGCGTCCCAGGAAATTAATTCCAGACGCTCTCCGGTTCTCTGTCTAAAGTTCGTTGGCCGCGTTATCGATAAGAAAACAGCTCAGGTAATTAAATCCAGGCGCCCGGGGCCTCTCCTCCAGATCCATTTCGAGTGGGAGAGAAATCAGGAAGGGGGTCAGGGCTGGAAATCCAAGCGGATTTGCATTTTTGTGGGGGAAGCGGGGTCCCTGGAGTTAGGGGTCGGGAGAGCACGGCGTTGGCAAGCGGCTTTTCTAGCCCAAAAGAGGAGATTGTGGGTTGGGTTTTTTTTTTTCATTTCCATTCCCTCTCCTCTCGGCCGTGATCCAGCCCCACCCAACAACAAGCTAAACTGAAAAATAACAGAGATTAAGGCAGGAGGGGGAAGGAAGTTGTTTTTCTTTTCCCGTTTTAGTCGTATTCATTCAACTCTTGACAGCTTACGCGCTCAGTTAGGCACGATTTTCCAGCTGTAGGGGAGGAGTAAGGCGAAAACGGGCGTTTTTCACGAGGATACGTTATCTGCGACTGCGGGAGATGCCTCAGTGGGACAGAAAAAGGGATGGCACCGGTTTCAAGACCCCTGAGAGTCCCTTTTTAACATCAGCAAGGGGGAAGGCCTAGAGTTTTAACCTTTATCGCTAATTTTTTTGGGGGGGAAAAGGTCCCATCGCTCCGTGTTTCTATGAACCCGCATCCGATCTGCCGTCAGCTGCAAGCGCAGTTTGTGAGTGATTTAGAGACGCGTTTGGTGTGCGGAGCCCCGCCGCCGTGAAAACAACCCCCTTGGAACCGCTTCCACGCCGCTTATAACACCCCTCCCGGAACAGCCGCACCCAGAAAGCAAAAGTAGTTTGTTAGCTGTAGTCAGTGGCAGGAAATTCTGGAGCTTATCAACTATGGTTTTATTAGCATGTGTCACTGAAGTGAGAATTAATACAGAAACTGTCAGAAAACTATGAATTTTAGCTTGGACGCACAAAATCTGAAGCAAAAAGATAAATTACTTACTGTAATTAAAGAAAAAGAGAAGTGAGAGGGAAGGAGAAGAAAACCAAACCAAAGATACTTACAAGTTGACTGAGTGTAAAGCTATTGATCTTTACTGACAAGTTAGCAAGACTTTTGAATATATAACCATAGCAAAGCTGCTACTTATGAACCAGGAGACAAGTGTAAAGTTCACATGTTCAATTAAAAAAAACCCCAAAATGTAATGAACAGATTTTTCAGTGCAAAGAAACAGGCCTAGGGAAAAAACCCACTTATGTTTGGATTCTGTATTAATCAGTTGCAAAAATGTCTTTGACTTTGAGGGACAACTTAAAAAGAACTATACTGAACTGAATCTAAGCAAATCATTCTTTGTAGCATTGGATGCCTTTGTCTGCAGTCTTTGTGACAGAAAATGCAGGAAGAACAAGTCAGTATCAGAATGAAAGATTTGCGGCCAATGAAATACTGCTTTATCAGTCTCTTGCAACATGTAAAAGGTCCTGAATTAAACAGGTTTTTCAAAGAGCTCTAGTGCAAATCTCCACACACAAAGAAAGGGAGGGAGGGAGAACCAGATCAGCTACTATAGGTTACAATATAATGCCATTAAAGAGGTGGGGAGGGGAAGGTGGTGATGACGACGATGGCAGAGCCGCTGCCGTACACGGGGAGAGCGGGACCGAGGGAAGCGCTTCTTCCCGGAGAGCCGGGGTTCGGAGGAGCGCCGGCGCTCGCCGGATACGTGGCTGCGAAAAAGTACCGAGATCGTTAAAAAAAAAAGTGGATTTGGAGGGAAAAGCGTGGAGGGGTAGGGAAAAGGGAGGATTTGGAGGGAAAAAGGTAGATTGGAGAGGGAAAAAGGGTGGATTGGTGGGAAAAATGGTGGATTGGCAGGGGGAAAAGGGTGGATTTGGAGGGAAAAAGGGTAGAACGGTAGGGAAAAAGGCTGATTGGAGGGGGAAAAAAGGCAGAGTGGTAGGGAAAAAAGGTGGATTGGTAGGAAAAAAAGTGGATTTGGAGAGAAAAAAGTGGATTGAAGGGGGAAAAAGGGTAGATTTGGAGGGAAAATGGGTGGATTTGGAGGGAAAAAGTGGAGTGGTAGGGAAAAAGGTGGATTGGAGGGGGAAAAAAGGCGGATTGGTAGAAAAAAAAAGTGGGTTGGTAGGGAAAAGGGTAGATTTGGAGGGAAAAAAGGTGGATTTGGAGGGGAAAAAAGTGGATTGGAGGGAGAAAAAGGGTGGATTTGGAAGAAAAAAGGGTAGATTGGAGGGGAAAAGAGGTGGATTGTAGGGGAAAAAAGGCGTATTGTAGGGGAAAAAAGTCTCTCATCACTTGGAAATATTTGATGTTTTCAGGTTGGGATGCGGGATGATTCCGATAGGGACCAGCGCGCGGCGGGGAGCGACCACCGCCAGGAAAAGCATCCGCTTCCCCTCCCGGCCAGTGCAGGAGCTTCGGTTCAACGTCCTCCACCGGCGCCGAGCCAAAATCGCTCGCTCTAACCCCAATTTCTCCACCCCATCCCCATCTCTTCCCCAGTCTGGGGCCGCTGGGGCCGCAAACCCAGCGCCCCACTGGGCCGGGACAAGGGGTGAGTAAAAAAAAAACACCTCGAAAAAGGGGATTTGCTGCCGGCGCAGCCTGGGAACGGCTCAGCCGTCCCCGAAAGCGCAGGGAAGAGAGGTTTTTTGGATCGGAAAAATCCTTAAAATCCCTTTTCCCCGGCCTTTTCCAGCGCTGACGACCAAGGAAACCTGCTCAGAAGACAGGAGCGTTACCTCCGCACCCGATTCCCTGCTGCAACGACGCAAGACGGGGTTGGAAAGGGAGGCAAAACCGGAACAAAACCCCGGATAACTTCTTCACGCCGGTTTTCAGCGGTGCCGGCGATCGAAGGCTTTAACCGAAAGCGTTTCGCCTCCTCATTAACGCTGCGCTTCGAGGCGTACCCCGTTAGCGGTGCGGCTGAGCAGGGGTGGCGGCTGGCCAGGCTGCTGCTAATTAGCGTTTCGTGGCAATACCATCGCTAAAAAACTCGTCAGGACTCACAAATAACACAAGTGTCCGGCGAAACGCGCTGGTTTGCTGCGGGAGGAAAGCGGGAGCTGCTTCCGGAGAAGGTCCCGGCGCTGAAGCTCAACCCGCGCCCCTCGTTAGGCTTCGTTTGAGCCTCTCTTCGTTAAGAAATCGGCCGAAAGCCCCCGGGCGGAAGCTTCACCATCCCTCCAAGCATCGCCGCCGCCATCCGCCTCCGGGATATTCACCCCGCCATCCGCCGTCTGGCTTTTCGATTCCCCATGGAATAAAATTTGGGGGCGTTTGCCCATTTTCATCAATTCAGGCTTCGGTACGTGAAACTTTCTTCCTTTTCCGCCCGTTTTTTGGTAATTTCGACTTTGGTTCACCACAAATTTTGTCTCTTTTTGGCCCGTTTTCAGACATTTAGGCTTCGGTACATGAAAATTCATTACTCTCCCGCCCACTTAGAGCAACTTAGGCTTTGCTACGTAAAAACCTGTTTGTTTTTCCCTTCCGTCTGCAGCAATTTATGCTTTGGTACACACAAATTTCTTCCCTTTTTGCCCCTTTTCAGGAATTTAGGCTCCGGTAGGTGAAGACCCGGCGCTTCCTCAGCCCCCCCGGTTACGCGCAGAGCGGCGATTTTCGCATCCCAGCGTCACCGCCGACTATTTTACCGAGACCCCGCAAAAAACAGCGATTAAGCGACGGAGGCTTTAACTCATTTTCCCGCTTGGAGGCGCAGAAATTAAGCGAGTGCCGCAGAAAACGAAGCCGTTTCCTTCCATCTTTCCTGTTCTTGGCATTTTTTGAGCCTTTTTCCACCTTTTATCGGTGCCTGGAGAAAATCCTTGCTTAAAAAGGTGCACGGGGAAAGAGGCTTCACCCTTTTTTCCCCCTTCCCCGAGAGGATTCACGCCGGAGAGGAAGCCGCGGCCCCGTTTCCCGTGGTCACCGAGCTGGAGGAGCGTCGGGCTGCGGCAAAGGGACACTTTGGAACAGCGAATTACGGGATTTTTTTTAGGGAATAGCGATGCCGAAAGCGGATTGCAGATGCCCCGGTGTCCGGCATCGATCAGCGGGGAAGAATTTCTCCCAGCCCCTCCCGGCTGCCCCAAAAGGTGAGATTGGTAAAACAGAAAAATGGGGAATTAATTTATTTTTGCAGGATTGCGGGGCCGTCGCTGTCCTACCTTGAGCATCCGGCGCCAAATCGGATGAGGGGAAGAGCATCCGGCGCCGTCTCCGTGGCGCGGGACAC